TCACCTGGATATCCAAATCGATTTTCCTACCGGATAAAGAAACCATCAAGAGGTATGGAAATAGTTTTTGTGAACTCTCTCTCGGCCCTTCACGGTTTAGGGACCCTAAAATTTTCCTTGACTTTTGTAATTGTAATATCCATGTAGCTAATAAATTGTTGTTTCCTTGTTAAATTTTGCCTCCTCGTTTGCTTGTATATCGCCTGTCATCTTACCGACGCACTCCTCCCTCTGCCACTCGACCCGAAACATTAAAGCCCGTTACAGCGGGAAAAAGAATCCTTCCATCCATCCTGACAGTGAAAAGGTTTAACAACCTGTTGCCGGCTCGGGAGACCTACCCCCTTCCCAGTGGTTAACAATTATTTTATTTTCAAATTTTACTTATTTGGAAAAATTCTGCTATGAAGTAATTTTTTCTAATAAAAAACTGTTATCAAAGCTTGAAATATTCTTTTATACTAAAATATAGTAATAATTTGATTATTAAGATTTTTTAGTAATGTTGTATTATAATAATTTAAGTTTATACTTTATATTTATATTTAATAAAATATAAATGAAATGCTTTGAATGTAAAGAATTAAATGCTGTTACATGCTATGGATCTTGTAATTTCTGAAGAGAAAACATGGAAAAAATTTTTTCAATTTTTTCTTAGCAAACTTTTAAATTAACATAGGTTAGATGATAATCTGATCTATTTTTCTGAAATTCAGTACAAAGCTACTTCAGAGATAAAGAGCTAGCAAATTCTGTTATAGAACAAGAATGGTAATACAGTAGAGCGTCGATTATCTGAATTAATTGGAGACTGGGGTTGTTCAGAAAATCGATTATGTATGAAAAAATACATTATTAATATAGTATATTAGTATATCCCAATAATAGTATATTAATATAGCCCATGTTTAAATTTTTCTCTGTTATGTATCACTTTGCATTGAATTTTTGTCAATGTTAAGCCTAACGAAAATTTTTATAACAATAATCATGGCTATTGTATCCTTAAAAATTATTTTTTTTTGTACAAACAAAATAAATGTATTGAAAAATATAAAAACAAAAAAAATTATACTTTAAAAATTAATCTAGTATCAAAAACATTCAATTCAGCAGGACACAGTCTGACTGGAAAGCTTTCGATTGATTGACATTCAGATAATCAACACTCTACTGTACAAACAATAGTGGCATAGCACTACAACTGCTTATAAGTAATTTTGATTTCATAAAGTTTAAGGTTTATGTTTGTGGGTTAGGCAGAAGGTAAAGTTCAAAACATGTTCCATATCTACCACACCTTATAAAACTCAAAATAGACAAGACAGCATACAGACAGACATGATAAATTTACACAAAAAAAAAAAAACAAATATCTCACTGTTAGCAAAGAGTTGTTTATCAGAAAAGAGCAATAATACACAATATTTTTATTTTACAAACAATTATTGAACATATCAAATAAGTAGCTGAACAGATAAATCAACTCATACATTAGACACTCATTGACAAGTGCTGCAACAATAGTCACTTATGGAAACATGCAACATAACAAGCACCAGTGAAAACACTAACTTTACAATAAGTGATAGTGTAGACACAGAATTAAAGTACAGAAATTTATTCAAGAAGCACTCACTAAATATACAGGTTTATCCCAAACAGAGACCATGAATACCAAAGTACACACATTACCAAAACATGTTGAACCAGAATCAACACTTTCAGACATACATACATAAATGTATTCTGATACAGTCATTGTAGCTACATACTATAGCTTTAAACTAATATAATCACAGACAGACACAATCAAAACACAAACAAATCATAAGTCTGCCTAGCAAAGAAGACTAGAAACACAAACAGTAATAAACAACTATTAGTCAGGTTGACACAATACACTAAAAACAACAAAACACCAAACATAATGAAAAACGTTAGGAAAATATTTTGGAGACACAGACATAGCATAAACATAATATACATGTGCAGGAATACATTGACACACACTAAAATGAAAACTAGCAGNAACCAAATATAAACAAATTTTACTACTTTAATTTTAAGTTAATCTTATATTAATTTGTATAATAATATATGTTAAATAACACATAAACATATTCATACAGAAATGTAAAGTTCATTTTTTGTGAAGATCCTGAGTTTTCTGAAATTCTTGTTCCTTTGCAATAAAGTCGTGAAGTTTCGTTTTCCGCTTTTTTCTTTCCTTAAGCAAATGTCGGTAGCAGAAGATCACATCCAAAACGCCTCATTTTGCTTTTGCACTCCTTTCAGTAGCAGAAGATCACATCCAAAACACCTCATTTTGCTTTTGCACTCCTTTCAAAATCTGGATCATTTGTTACAATTTGATCAACGATTTCGGTTATCATTACCAAACTTTTATTAAGGAAATCTGTAGAGAAATTTTTTGGGTTCTTCGTTTTCAGAATCTCTATTTTCCAGTTCCACATGAATTCCATGTTCTGCCAGTTCTTGAAGGTCATTGTTGGTAAGGCTCTCACCAGAAACCTGCTATAACTCCTCAATATCCTGTTCATCTATATCTTCTAGTCCTGCTGTATCATTAGGTTGACAATTTGGTCAACCTAACAATACAGCGATAAGCTCTTCTCATTGAGAATTCTTGGATACCTTCAGCCATAACTTCTTCCACACTTCGTTCATGCATTTATCAGTTAATTCTTGCTAAGCAAAGTTGAAGTCAATATTGCCTATGGCATTCATGATATTATTTATTTTTATTTTTATTTTTATTTTTTAAGGCTTTGAGCAGATCACATTATATTGAATCTGCATTAATCGAGACAGCGTTAAGCGGAGTTTTGCTGTATATTTTTTTACGAAAGTAATTGTCTGTATTAGTACCTAATATTTATACTTCAGCAACTGGCAGGCGAACAGAGATAGTGATACTGATAATGTTGCGTAATACTGAGAGTGACAACAGAAATGCATGTTGACACATGCATATTTAGCTTGCAGTGCAAGAGTATAGTCACAGCACAGTAAAAAGACTATATCAGACCAGCATTCAATTTAAATCTCTGACTTGCCAAAAATTTTGGTTATCGATTGGAAACAAATATGCTGATTTGAAGAAAAAGGCAATCATTATTTTGATTCAGTTTGCATTGACCTATATATGTGAAACGACTTTTCAAAATTAGTTGCCATTAAAACAAAATATCGATCTTGATTGGATCCAGAGGATGACTTACGGCTTGCGATTTGCAATACAGGTCCAAACATAGAAGCACTCATGAGCTCTTTTTAAGCACATATCTCACATTGAATTCTTATGATGTAAAGTTATTTTAAAAGTATTTCTCATTAAATAAATATTTACACCCATATGCATAAATAAAACCATTGTTTCATAAAATTATTTGTATTATTCAGACCTCTAATAAGGCAGAAACATAAGCACAAATCCCAGAAAGAATTTCACTTTAACTATGTTGACAATTAAAAAAAAGTCTACTTTCTATCAAGGGGTCGTGAAAAAATTTTACACGAAATGGGGGGGTCAGAAATGAAGATAGTTTGTGCACCACTATTCTAGAAAGTGTACTTGCAGTTTTGTGACTATTGAAACAAAATCGAATTGTGTTTTATTTCTGCATGGCATTTTTTTGATAACTGTATAAAACAAGCTTTTTTTAAAGTCTAAAATATATGATTATATTGACTACATAAATTTATAATTACAACAGAAATTTATACTTTACAACAGAATAAATTTCACAGTAAATTTTCAGCAACTTTTCCCTAACTTGTGATGATTGCTTGATTAGAAGTGACATCTAGGAGTAAAATAAAAAAGTTACCAAAATAAAATTTTCATAGAAATCAGCAAAAATGACTGATTCTGTTGATTAGAATAAAAACATTTGGCTTAGTTTAGTGAATTTTCATAATTGTGTCAAACTTCTAATTCCTGCACATAGTTTTGCAGGCTGCAGCATGATAGGTCACAAACTTGGCTGGCATTTAACATTGCTAAACATTTGATGTACTGAATTTTAGCATCAGTTTAAATTTGCACATAATGTACCACAACAGTTATCAAAATTGAAGTAAACTTTAATCAGACTCAAATATAAGTCAAGGCTTAAATACAGGTAGAGAGTAATTTTTTGCCTCTTTAAAATTGGAAAAAACATTGACTAATATTTAGGAAATACAGTATTTTTTGTTATAAAAACAATAAAGCTAATTTTTTTAGAGGATAGTCTATTTGTTTTTTTACTATCTAAAAATCTTAAAAATAAATTAAATTAACAGTTTTGTATTTCATCATATATTTTATTGTATAGAAATAAAAATATTATTTGCATTATACTAATTAATAAATATAATTTATTTTAACAGGAAAATTATGTAAAATTAATGGAATTGCAGCGAGATCTTATTGGAATTGATAATATTGTTCATTCTAATCGGGTATGTAATTTATTAATGTTTTGATATTAATACATCAAATTAATATTTCAGAAACATTGAAATAAAGATGTTTAATTTTTCTGAAACAAATATACAACTGAATGCTATTACTATGTAACAGAATTATCATAAAATTTAAATTAATGTTCCTTAAAGTGAAAGTCTTATAAATTGGAAGAATGTAATAATCAATTTAAAGATGTGACTGTTTATACTTACACCATGTATCATTAATTGTCTATTTTTACTTACATTGTTTTTTTATCATTAATGACTTATATAATTTTGTTTGCTATGATTTGTATGAAATTCAATAATTATTAGAGCATTAAGCAAAAATTTAGTTTTGATAGTATTTTTGTTGGGAATGCGAAACTAAAGTGCGTATCAATGTCATAAAACTGCACACGGACTGGCAACACTCTGCTAAGATAGCCCGAGACAGGAAGAAAGCTGTTGTTCTGTTGGTGCCAAAGTTATGGATATATTAACAAGTATATATATATATATATAGCCTAGATTAAAATAAAGTTCAGTTATAAGTTAAAGGATTGCCTCATCATTGCCCCAACAATTTTACAACAAATTTAAGATTTTAAATATTTAAGAAAATTTGATAAACAATAATAATCATTATTGGAGGAATTAATTTTTTTGGATTTTTATATGCATTTTGATAAATGTTGTTTGTTTATGTATAAAAAAAACACTGTTCTTACTATCACAATTTCTATACCATTTATTAATGACTTGATTGGAATAATTTTTTTATCAAATGATTAGTATTTGAATAATAAAATGGTCATTGGGCTGCAATTTGAAAAAATTGTAGACCTATAAATTTTTACTGTTGTCTATCTGTCAGTCTGTCTTTCCTTAATTTCAAGAATGGAGTTAGATATTTGAAAACCAAGATCAGATATGGAGAGCTTAGGGGCAGGAGGCCTCGATTAACTGTATATGAATTTCCAGTGCAAACCAAAAAAGTCACTCAATTCAAAAATTTTCCCCTGTAAGGAGTTAGATAGATGATGGCATGACTTTGTTGCTAACAGGAAAAGTATTATGTACAGGGGCAAGACACTACTAATTTGAGATGGAGAGGATATATTTTAAATTAAATAAATTAAACAATATGATTAAAAAAATTGCAACCCAGCATTGTGACAATGTCACAATAAATAATCAATTCAAATATAAAATTTTTTCCTATAGCTCAATTCTTGCAATTTCTCGCATGTTTAACACTAAAATGATGCAATCATTACATTTTCTATATTAAGCATTAACAGTGTGAAATTTTAAAAATTTTTTACATTTTTTAAAATTTTATTATTAATAATGTAAGATTTGAATTATATATAAAAATAACTTATTAATTTAATGTATCACTTTAATTTGTAAATTAACTCATAAAATGCGACGAACTCCTTCAAATGTTAGTTACCGCACAGCGAGACGAAACAATCTCCTAGGCAAGCTTAGGCGAAGCTAGACGAATGTGAGTTCTCTTGATGAGTCTTAGACGAACTCAACTTTCCGCCTAAACTCAATCCTTTTATACAGATTGAGGCAAATGGAATTTCACCAATCGGTGCTTAGTAGCATTATCAGACGTCCGCTGGTCGTACAATGTCTTCCAGCCAATTCGCGGTCGAGTTTCCAAAGTTGCCTGATCGGCATTCCCATGGTGACAACCGCCATTCATTTGAAAAGCAGGAAAAGCGTGGAAAATCGTATGTTGGGGATTTTATATTGTCCGAATATAATTTTAAAATATTATTCTATTATGAAAACATTTAGTGACACAATATTACATGTGATATTGCAAGAATTATTGATAATTTATGAAAGTGCTTTTATAAAGTCATATTTAATAATCATAGAAGAGAGCATCAGTTTTAGACTTGAAATGAAAAATAGTCAGATTCCTGATAACTGATATTATAAATAGTGAATGTATGAATACTCATTATTTATGCATAAATTAACAATATTTATCAAGAATATATATAAAAAATTCAAAGAAATAATTATTCCATTTATTGCTGTTTTATCAAATTTTATTAAACGTTTTGTAAATTTTTAAAATACTATTAAAACTAAAGTTTACTTTATACTCAGATGATTATTGAATTTTACAGTATATAAAAATATGAATATGTAATGTAAAAGTATGTATGAAAAATAGCAAATAAAATTACTTGCATATTGTATTAAAAACACAGTGTATGTATAGTCACATCCTTATATTAATCACACCTATCATCTTTAGTTCCAATTTCATTAATTACTATTTTGAATTAAATTTAATAATTAATAAAGATTAAATAAAAGTATTAAATTTAATTCAAAAATAATTGTAATTATTAATTAATGTTAGTACAGTAGAGTCCCGAAAACTCAGCACTCGATAACCTGGCAGTCCAGACAATGCGGCCATACCCTGGCAGGGCGAAAAAACCCCTAGTTAATTTTCATTATAGACAGCTTTATGCCTCATAAAGTATTTTTCTGATGTCTGTCTTATCAGACAAATTATTGTACACTGTGTATTCATTAATTTTCATTTTTATGTAGTAAAGGCTCTATGCCTTCATAAAGTATGTACTTTTCCTTTGTTTAAGAGTATTTGAGCAGTTTATTCTCTTCTATATTCTCAAGCAAACAATACATACAAGTACAGTACAGTATTTTCTGAGGAAACGCTCATACTTATTCTTTTTTAACCCTATTCCTGATAACCCGGCATTTCACAAACTCGGCCACCCTTCGGTCCACATTAGGCTGAGTTTTTGAGACTCTACTGTATAAGATAGTGATCTAATCTCCTATTTTTAGAAAAATTATTTTATACTAATTATTAATTAATAATTAGCCAAACTATAGTTTGAATAATTCAGACATTTTTTTCTGGATTATTTGGACTATTTGAGCTTGGTTGTTTATACAATGAATCTACAATGATTTGTTAACAGAAATGAAACAGAAAGAAAGCACTTTTTTAATGCTTGAGATGGCAACTTCTAAACTACATACTGGTAATTATCTTGTTTTCAAAAACTTCTCCAGAGATGTGGGGTATACAGTAGGGCATGTTATACAAAGATTTTCTTTTCATTTTTGCAGTTTTCATTCATGGGATATATGTCATTGCAGGTTATACACCATTATGGGTCAACCATATGTTGTAACATTGAGAGCCAACATGGTCTGGAATGAGGATCAAATACTATTTTCTGAGGAATGTGATTTTAAACTTTAAAAAATATAAAAAAAGTTTTTTTTTGAAAACTGGAGAAGGGTTTTCTATTTCTTTGAAAACATGGGAGTAGTACTTATATTTTCTCATTATACAGTAATGCAAATGTTGGTTTCTTTTATCATATTCATGATGATGAATACAACAAAAACATGAACATGAATGCATTTATGTTCAAGAAATTAATAAAATAAATTTCAAAAAGAAAAATTCAAGATTTTAGAACAGGAACATTGGTGACCAAATGTGTTTGAAACTTACATAAAATACAGTTTTTGTTTTGTGAGACTGAAGGACAATGCACTGGAATGCAGGACTCTCCCTGTAGGAGCAGGACAGTCAACAGCCATGCCTAACTTCATATCTAGGATATATTATTAATCTCTTATATTTTATGTGACTTTATTTGTTGTGTATACTTATAAGAATGTGTTTAGAAGAAATGTATGAAGATCAACGAACAGAAAGAAAATGTATAAGTATGTTCTATCAAATAATGATTTTTGCAGACTATAATTCCATTGTATGTACATGAAATTTACAGACTGAATATATTTCAGATGAAAAAATAAATTAATTAATTTTTTGATAAAGGTTAACAAATGGTTTTTATTTAATTAATTAAAGGCTATATGCTTTTACATATAAACAATTTAATTCAGATTTAATTAACATAAATTTAATTATATATAATTTTGATTATGTGAAGCTTTCAAGAAAATTAGATTTATTCTATAATAGAAATTGTCTTTTTTTTTTTTT